ATGCCAACTGCCACCGCGGTGTCTGACAAAGACTTCAAGGAAAGGCATTTGGCGGGGTTTTTAAGACCTAGCGCGAACATAAAGGCCATAGAACACCTCGTCCCTAAGGTTTTACAGCGACTTCTCTCGATGTGCTATTTTGGATGTGTCGGGTTAAGGAAGTTACAGAATCACTTCGCTGTTGGCTTTTACTTTCGTGAGCGTGGCCGCAGTGCAGGTGACCAGGCGGCCCTGGCCTAGAAGGACGGGGCCGCCCAGTACGGTGGCCGCGGGGGCGGGGACGAGCCGCGCGCAGAGCAGGCCGGTCACGTGGACTTCTGCTCAGGGTCGTGCGGTGCGTATCCGCAAGTTACCTTTATGGCAGGTGGCCCACCAAAGAGACCCCGTGGCCATGACCCCTGGCCAGTGCGCCTCCCCTCACGGTGCCCGACGAACCTGCCTGCTCCGGTGCCCTGCCCCCTGGGAGGGCCCTTGGCCCACGGGAGAGGCCACCTGCAGTTCAGCGTCGCCCTGCTTGGGGCATATCAAGCACAGCCGGCCCTTGGGGAACAGGGACCGGGCCGTGCTGTCCTTGCCATGTTTATGGTGTGGAAATGGAGGTGGCGTGGGGCAGGGGAGACGCGCAGCCCCCCGAAGGCCGGGCACCGGGAGGGGGGCTGCTCCCTGGGCTGCCCGGGCCTTGTTTTCCTAAAGCTGCCGCCAGCCCCACGGACGCGCGAGCCACATGCAGGGCCGCTGGGAGCGGTCTCTGCCCCCTGGGCCAGCTGCACCCCGGGACCCTGGCTGCCCCTGGGTGCTGCTCCTAACGCGCGCTTTGCCGTGTCTGACCGCGGAGCTGGGGGAGGCGGGTGCCGGGTGCCACCGGGCAGGTCCCTGCGAACCTCGGCCGGTGTCTGGCCACTCTTCTAATGGCGGCGTCCAGACGCCGACCCCGATTATGTCCTTGTCACAGAAGACGCTGGAGGGTGGGTCCCCCGATCCCCTGGGGGGAGGGTTTCTGGTCTCCCAGGTCCAGAACTTACACACACACCACACATGACACACACGCAACACACACCACACAGATACACAACACACACACCACACACGACACACACGCAACACACACCCCCCACAGATACACACCACACACCACACACACACCACACACCACACACACCACAGATACACAACACACACCACACAACACCATAGATACAACACAGATACACAACACACACAACACACAACACAGATACACAACACACACAACACACAACACAGATACACAACACACACAACACACAACACAGATACACAACACACACAACACACAACACAGATACACAACACACACAACACACAACACAGATACACAACACACACAACACACAACACAGATACACAACACACACAACACACAACACAGATACACAACACACACAACACACAACACAGATACACAACACACACAACACACAACACAGATACACAACACACACAACACACAACACAGATACACAACACACACAACACACAACACAGATACACAACACACACAACACACAACACAGATACACAACACACACAACACACAACACAGATACACAACACACACAACACACAACACAGATACACAACACACACAACACACAACACAGATACACAACACACACAACACACAACACAGATACACAACACACACAACACACAACACAGATACACAACACACACAACACACAACACAGATACACAACACACACAACACACAACACAGATACACAACACACACAACACACAACACAGATACACAACACACACAACACACAACACAGATACACAACACACACAACACACAACACAGATACACAACACACACAACACACAACACAGATACACAACACACACAACACACAACACAGATACACAACACACACAACACACAACACAGATACACAACACACACAACACACAACACAGATACACCACACCACACACACACAACACAGATACACAACACATACCACACACACACAACAGATACACAACACACACCACACACACAACACAGATACACAACACACACCACACACACCACACACGACACACATGCAACACACACACCCACAGATACACACCACACACAACACACACCACACATGACACACACGCACCACACACACCACAGATACACACCGCACACCACACACACACACCACACACACACACCACAGATAGACACCACACACCACACACACACAACACAGATATACACCACACACCACACACAACACACATAACACACACACACACAGATACACAACACACACCACACACAACACAGATACACAACACACACAACACACAACACAGATACACAACACACACCACACACAACACAGATACACAACACACACAACACACAACACAGATACACAACACACACCACACACAAGAGATACACGCCACACACAACACACACAACACAGATACACAACACACATAACACACACAACACACACATAATACAGATACACAACACACGCCACACATACCACACATGACGCACATGCAACACACACACCTACAGATACACACCACACACAACACACACACATCATAGATATGCAACACATGCACCACACACACAACACACACAACACACACACAACACACATGCACCACAGATACAGAACACACACACACCACACACACCACAGATACACAACACACACAACACAGATACACAAGACACACCACACAAACAACATATATACAACACACACATCACACACACAACACACACAACACACACAATATCCACAACACACAACAGAGATACACAACACACACAACTTAGATACACAACACAACACACAACACACACAACACAGATACACAACGCACAACACAGATACACAACACACTCCGCACACAGAACACACACATAACACAGATACACAAAGCACACAACACACAACAGATACATCACACACACACCATACACAATGCAGATACACAATACACAACATACACAGACAAAACAGAGATATGCAACACATACCACACACAATCCACACACATCATACCACACACAACACATAAAACATACACAACACAACACACTCAGCACACACCATACACACACCACACATGCACGACATAGACATACAACAACACAACATACACAGCAGATACATAACACACATAACACACACAAAACATAGAACACATACAAACACACAATACAGATACACAACATACACAACATACACAACACACATACAACACACACACACCACACACACAACACACACACACCACACACAACACAGATACACAACACACACAACACACAACACAGATACACAACACACACAACACGCACAACATGCACAATACACACACCACACACGCACAACATAGATACACAACACAACACACACAGCAGATACATAACACACAACACACAAAACATATACAACACACGCACACACAACACAGATACACAGCACACACCACACAGAGAACACACACACACCACACCACACACAACACAGATACACAACACACACAACACACACATGTAAATTGCAGGACCTCTTGAAAACATTTTTAACGAAAGCAAGAGAGACTTTTCTTAAAAAATCAAATGCCCCGAGAGGATCGTAAAGCAATAGAAAGCCTGCCTCGCGTTCACTTAGCTCAGCACGAAGGTGACGAGGTGACGAGCCACGTAAAACACCCTAGTGTCTTCCTTTTCTTGCCCTTATCAACTTCGCAAATAGATGAGGTTGCAAGAGCCAAGCCAAACCAAACCCCAGACTTCTGGAAAATAACCAATAAAACGTAAACGATTATAGGAAACACAGTCGACGTCGGCCGATGCTTCCGCTGACATTTTGTGGGACACGAAATACACTGTGGAGACCGGCCCATCACAGCCACAGAAGGCTCCGCACGTTCCGTAAGTTAAAAGTGTCGCCGGGTAGTTTGCGAGACGGTATTCGGTGGACACTCCAGAAGACCGTCCTTCCGTACCATGAAAGTTACTTAAGTCCAGCCGGACACACAACGCAGATACACAACACACACCACACGGCCGCAGAGACGCCGCTGTCCACCCTCGGTCCTCCCCGAGCATGGGATGCAGGCGGAGAGAACTGTCTCGTCTCCCGTCTGCCCGCCCGGCCCCTCCTCATGCTCAGATCCGACGCGGCCAAACCACGGACGAGCCCCCGCCCCGTCCACCCCGCTCCCCGTCCCCGCAATTTCTGCTAACTTTTTGCTAAGGTTTAAAAAAGATACAGTTTCTGGTCACAAAAAGAAAACGTACTGGTTATAGAATATTATCAATGAGAAAGCAGAGTGCAGGGCAGACCTCACCTCTGTGGCCTCCTCCTAAGACAACGGATCGGATTTCATTGGGTTTCTGTGACTAGATCGTGTGTGTGTGTGTGTGTGTGTGTGTGTGTGTGTGTGTGTGTGTGTTGACAACTCCGATCTGTTTTCAAAGCGGCTACACTGCTCTCTGCCCTGCGGACGCCGTGATTTACGAGCCGAGTTCTCCACACTGGACGTTTGGACGGTGCGTGTAAATTTGGGGTCACCTCCGAGACCGTTTCCTGACAACGGGCCCCCAGATGTGGGGTCCCTGCACCCTGGGACACAGGCCCCACCTGCCCGCCGGAAACCAGGCCTCGGCCTCTCTCACAGGCCGGTGGGGGTGCAGCCCAGCTCTTTCCCCAAGGCTTTAACTAGTAGTTAAAACAGCAGCCGATAGAGGCCTGTGGGTCCAAACTCGCCCCGCCGAAGGACCTCAGCATTTTCCAGGAGGCAGAGGGAGCCTCGGTGTCGAGTGGGCAGGGGCGGCCGACACAGTCTTGTCCCCACAGGGCACCATCCTGGCATCCAGCAGCTGAGCACGGGTCCACCGGCCACCCCCACGGGCCTCCGAGGACAGGGGCTAGAGGCCCCGGGAAGCAGAGCCGGGCCCCTGAGCCCAGCACACCTGGGCTTACCTGCGGCCGCGGGATGGAGCGGGAGGAGCGGCCGGCCTCCCGGGCCTCCTCCGTGTGAGCCGGGCAGGAAGCTGCCGGGGAGGGCCCAGCCTTAAGAGGGGGATCCACGTGAGCAGCATGTGAGTCCCCGGGCCCTCATGATCCCCGTGGGGCGATGGCCCCGTGACCTGGCTCCCTGGCCGGAAAAGGAAGCAGGGCCCCATCCGCTGCCAGGCTGCGCCACGTGGGAGCCCGCGAAACAGCCTCGGGATCTGGGGGGGGCGGCCAGAACTTTCCCTTTGAAGCGGCCACCCCGCCCCCCACCATTCCCAACCCCGCCAGACACGTCAGCGTGGTTTGCATGATTGAGACAATTGGACATAATCGGCCTTTCAGGAGCCCCTCGTGGGGAAGGAGGCACATGGCACTTCCCGGTCACCTGAGGCTGGGCCGGAGGTCAGGAGGTCACGTGACCACACCGCAGTGCAGCTGAGTCCCACCTGACTCCGGTCCACGTCTGGGTGCTGCAAGCCCCCACCGTCCCCGCTCCGCCAGCAGCCTGCGGGACCTGTACCCCCAGTCACCCCCAAACTACCCCGCTGGGAGCTTTGTGGGTTTGCTATAACAATACGCGTGCTCATTCCAGCTTTCACTGAGTCGCAGGAAAGGAAAAGCCTTGAAATTCTTCGCACAGCCACCTGTGCAGGGTGTCAGGTCGCCACACACACCTGTGAGCCCCCTCGGCACGGGCCACCTCCCTCGTCACAGAGGAGCAGATAGAGGGCAGCCAGAGCCACCGCCACTCCATGCGTGAGGACACTGGGGCTTCTGGGTGGCCGGCCTGGCCAGAGCGCGTGCGAGGTGGACTCTGTCCCCACAGAGCCCGGGCTGGGGCGCAGCCTGAGCCTGGGGCCGTGTCCCACCCTGAGCTGCAGGGGGTCCTCGGTGTCCGCGGAGGGCGGCAGGGGCTCAGGGAGGTGCGGCCAGGAGGCAGACGCAGGTCCCTTTCTGGGGAGGGGTCCGTCCTTCGCTCTCATCGGCTTCTCTCGGGTCGGCGCCCACCGAAGGTTGACAACCTCGGCCCAGCGTAGGGGCACACGGGCGGAGCGTGACATCCCGGGCTTTGCCGGCCACGCCGCCCAGGAGCGGGGTAGGCTCACAGCTTTAGTAGGGGACAGAGGGGACACTGCAGTGGCAGTTCTGATGACGCGGTTGGGGCAGATTTTGGAGGCAGGGCCAGGCTTCCCTGGCGACCCCCCTTCCGGAGGCGCCTCACGCCCGCTCGTCTCTCTTTTGGGGTGTCGGCCGCCTTCGATGACGGTTGCCTGGAGCTGTCGTGGCGCGAGGCTCGCGGGGCGGTAGCCTTGTCATACTGTCGTCCCATCTTCACCGATGAGCCGGGATCCAGTTCCTGAAGGGGAACCTCGCTGATCACATGGGTCGCCGTGGGGGTCATGACTCCGTGGGCGAGGCAGGGGACGGCGTCCGCGTCCAGGCTGACGCCTCGGTCCTCGCGCCGCACCCCGCTGCCTAACACGCTTCTAGTTTCCAAGGGGCACTATTTGTGACCTTCTTGACGCATGTCCGTCTTTATCGTCCACTCAGCGGTCCCTCTTCCAATCCCGCTGGCAGGACCCCAGGAAGCCACCCCGTCCCTGCCGCCTGGAATAGCAAGTCATCGCGAGTTTATCCGGCACATTCCATGCCCTGGACCTGCGCTCAGCCCTTTCTCCACGGAGCCCTGCCTCCTCGGAGCGGGAAATGGTATTTGGGGACCGGTATCTCCTTCCGAATTAAATTGTTTCTAGGCCTTTCCATGCAGTCGTGCATGTACATATACATATATAATTATATACAAATGTACACGATATGATACAGCAATTATATAGAGAATAACATATAATGTATGAAAGAAAATTCATCACGAGTTCAAACTGATAATCTGCAGTTCGAATTTAGGAATAGTGGATTTTTCTATACATTTTAAAACGAAGGAGTGTTGACTTATGAGTGGCTGGATTGTCAGAATTCGAAACAGAGGTGGAAGGAGCAGATCTTAAAAACGTATTTGCTGTGGAAATTAAACTCCTACGTCGTCGACAGATGCTCCTGTGAAGAAAGCCGGAGAGGAAGTCGAAATGGTGGGTGTGGGCATCAAAGATCATCGTAAACATCGGGAAATGGATAAGTGGGTTAGGCAGAGCCCCACGGGTCTGTGGACGCTTTCGATCCGGGCCCCATGTCCCTGTGAACAGCCCCCCACCCCGCCCACCTGACCGACGGAAAAGCAAAGTAGGCTTTTCCGCTTGGAGGGAAGGAAGATGCTCAAACGTCCGGGGCGCTGGCGGGCCTTGCGCGCTCCCCCTCTGTCCGAAAGGCGGTGTTTTTTTGGTTAGGGGCTCAGTTGGCCGAAATACGCTGGGCCCTCCGAGAGGGAACGCTGGCCTGGCAACAGCTTCATCTTGGCAGCGGCCTTTCATGAACGAGAAAGGGGCTGTAAGAAATCTGACAAGCTCAGTGTGCCAAAGCAACCCCACAGGGCGATCTGATCACAACTTCCCAACTGGGCAGGTCACCGTGGCTGGTCACACCCCGGGCCGGTAACTTCTTGAGTGGAAGGTTTACCGTTGCCTTCAGCCAGTCCTGCGCCTTGCGGTCCTGCGTTCAGGGTCGCCCACCTCTGACAAGCCAGAAGCCATCTTCTCATCCAGACCCCTCGAAGGCATGAGCGCCCTAGAAGGACCATGCCACCCTGTCCACTAACGTGTCCCTGGCTTTCTTCCACCTCCGTGACATTGTCAGTAAGGTCCCTCCTTCATGCCACGTGCATCAGAGAAACTGCCGAGCCGTCTTTCTCTGGAGCGTGTGAGGTCTTGCCTCCCGCACGGTCATCACTTTGGCTCAGATAAACGCTCATAAAAATTCTCCACGGGTCTGGCCATCTTTACATCAGAATGCGCTTCTCTACGCGGCCCAGCTCCAGCCGGCGGCCGCGCCTAGCGTGTCCCCATCGGTGGCTGTTCTTCGGTGGACGCGGGCTCCACGGTGGACCAATCGGGGGCGGGGAGGAGGGGGTCCCCAACTGGACGGCGGCTTCCTGTGCGATCACGAGCGCTTTCATCCCATCTCTCCTCTTTGTCCTTCTGTTTATTTATTTCTGTCTGGCCGCTCGGCGGGTCGTGTCGCAATGCTGGCAGATGCCGCGTGCTGGGACAGCAAGCACGTGGAGAGAAGGCTGCCAGGGATTTACTGTTTCTCAGTTTCCGGAATAATCTCTCCGATGAGAATAAAGGCAGGGACGGGGTGGTGGAAATAATCTCATCAAAGCTCCGTGGAAGCCCTGCCATGCGGCCGGCGCCGAGAAGAGCTGGGGGCCCGGCCTGGTCACGCCTGGAGCTGCCGGACGCTCCCGGGAGAGGGCGATCTGGGAGCTGCTTTCCTCCTCGCCAGATAAATTCCTCACATCTCGTTAATCTGCGCGTCCACCCACCACATGTCAGAAGCCCCATGAGTCACAGTGGAGGCATCTGTAAAAAGTCTGAACGTAACATTCTGCCC